AGAAACAATCACATCTCCACACAAAAATCCATACATTATTGTCAGAGCAGCCTTATGAATAACAGCCAAAGAGTAGACACTATTGAAATGCTGTTCAGTTCATAAGTGACTCAGAATGCAGTATGTCCATACAATGGAATATTACTTTGCCATAAAAATGAAGTACTGCTGCGCAGTGGTAGCACACGCCTTTAATCTCAGCACTTGGGAGGCAGAGGCAGGAGGATCTCTGTGCATTTGAGGCCAGCCTGCTCTACAGAGCAAGTTCCAGGATAGATTCCAAAGCTACACAGAAAAACTCTATTTCAAAAAACAAAATAATAAATAAATAAATGAAGTGCTGATACCAGATAAAACATAGACAAAACTTGAAAATAGTAAGTGAAAAGTAGACAGGGAGACGATATATTGTGTATTCATTTTCTACTGTGTGATGAACAATGACAGAAAGGATGCTAGGAACTGCTAGAGGCTGAGAGAGAGGATGAAGGATGATCAATGGTCCATACAGGATTTCTTTCAGGGATAATGGAAAGTTCCTGAAATCAGAAGGTAGTTATGGCCACACAATTTTGTGAGAGTATTAAAACCACTGACTTGCGGAATTTAAAAGGAGAATTTGTATATAATTTTATTTTAAAGTATATAAAAAGTGAAAATGCTGATGGGCAGTTCACTCCTTTAATCCCAGAACTTGGGAGGATCTGAGTTTGAGGCTAGCCTGGTCTATGCAGTAAGTTATAGTCAATGTTACATAGTGAGTGAGTGAGTGAGTGAGTGAGTGAGTGAGTGAGTGAGTCAGTCAGTCAGCACCCCCTACCTCTCTCTCTCACACACACAAACACACAAGTGAATACTGTTCTTTTAAGTGTCTCTCAACAGCAAAATTGCAGGTCTCACTAAAGTCACACATATACATTCTAGTAAAATGCTCAAGGAGACATTCACTTTCCAGAAGAGTACACGGCATGTACTGGTCACTTAGACACGTTTGAAGGAAGGTGTGGTTCAAAGGTGGATGGGGAAAGATGTGGTCCACATGAGCTGAGCGTCAAGGAAACTGAGGGAGCCTCAGCCACGTGGATGTTTGGAGTTCACAACTCATTTCATTAACATTAGGGACTTCATGAGAAGGAGCACAGCTCAGCTGGAAGGGCATGTGCCTGGTGAGCACAAGTCCTGGATTTCATCCTCAGCAGAACATGAACCATTTCATCCTAGTACTTGGGAGGTAGAGATGCTGCTTTAGAAGTTCAAGGTCATCCTTGTGAGTTACAGGCCAACTTGAGATACATGAAACAATGTCTCAAACAAGCAGGCAAAAGGTGAAAATTAGGAGAGATCGATTATGGATTCTTAATGACTTTCAAAGATTATTTGGAGACATTTCCCATCTATGAACTGTTGCTGGGGTAAAAAACAATGAACTGAGTAATTTGTTTAAAACCTTAGAAGGTGACAAAGACTTAATAGTCCAAGAGAATTATCACCTGAAGCTGAGAAAGAATTGGTCTTGGTAGAAAAGAAAGTACAGGAAGGACAGACA